GACTGTTTGAAATCTAAATTTATTGGTATTTAATTATTTTTTTATCGTTGCCTAAGTGTTTTATGTGAACTAAACCCATTAACAAGTTATTAAGTAATCAATGACAGCTATTATAATGTGTGTGTTAATATAGTTTTTAATTTCTATAAGTGTACGGTATGGAAATGGATTTTTTATATAAATATACTGAGGCTGCAGGTCCGATTCCCAGCTTGGGTAAATTGTTTGTTTGTAAATTTTCATTTTAAATATATAAATTACGGGTTTGGCATATGGGTAATAAGCGATAACATTTTATACCGATTCACAAATATTAGGGCTAAGTATATTTAATTATATGTATCGTAGAGATCCTTATTTTTTATATATTTTTAAGTTTATCCGTGTGGTTGCGGATTAAGCATACGGAGTGTCACCACCCCTATTCATCCCATGGGTGTCGTAAGAGCCGACTAAGGGAGCAAACTATGCAGCACAACAGCACTGCAAAGAGAAGGAAAACTTACACCAACCCGTCTGGCCAGCGTGGTATAGTAGGCCAAAACCTCCTTTCTAAGGAGAGGCTTATGTCCAGCAGTGGACTTTTGAAGGCTGTTTATGACGTGATGTGATGATACATGTAGTGTCATGTTCGAACATTTGCAGTGTTTCTAAGGAGAGGCCTATGTCCAGTGGTGGACTACTAAAGTCTGTTGATGATGATGTTGAAGATTTTGCAATGGCACAGGCTATCGTTTCATTAGGTTTCATTTCGACAAAAAGAGTTTTATATGTGACGACTACCGAAAACTATTTGGGTGAGCTTCGGGGACAGTGGAGAATTCATTACGTTTAAAAAATAGGTCATGAAAAACTAATATATGTATTTAGAAATATATAAGTATGCTTATCAGCAGTCTGGTTACCGAAGTGCAGGCTCAGGAAGGTTCAGACGGCCGTGAGGAAGATTTGTGAAGTTAATATTATTGTAGGGAAACTTCTTTAGAATCGTTCTGATTTGAAACTCGATGAAACGAAAATGCGTCACGATAAAGAAACAAACACATAAATATAATAGATAGAATACATAACACATTAATTTTAATATAATATTTTGACAGTGTGAATATTTTTATCTTTTTATTTAATACTAGCTGGTACCCGCGACTTCGTTAGCGTGGAATTTGAAAAACGCTGCCTTAGTGGGTTCGATTCCCGGGTCGGGCAAAATTTTATAAGAATTTTCTGAAATAAAAAAATCTGAACTTTCACTTCTGCCCTGTGTGAATTGCTCACACACACTTCATTTTTTTATTTTAATACTAGCTCTTGGCAGCGGCTCCAATCGCTTCTATGTCGGTGATCGCGGTAAAAAGTAGCCTCCTCTAGGGAATACTTCTCTGAATACCTTAGTACTTACGTACTCGTTGACGAAATTACATAGTGGAAAACAAGTTCTTCTGCCTTCTCAAGAAGAAGATAATAATATCCTTACACATCTCACTTACGGCCGTCTCATACCAAACTAGGCAGAACCCGTACTATGGTAAACATACTTAAATATTTCTAAATAAATATATTTTATAGATGAATTACTTCCAGGTCTCAGACACAGAATAAATGGTCGGACTCATCACAACGACAATTATTTATCCTTGGGAACCACGACCTCTGGCTTAGCAGAATCACAAGGCAAGTCAATATATTTCGATATAAAGCTTCGAAAGATCTCGACACAAAGCGTCAAATGCGCAAAACTAGACTCAGGACTTTGTACAACTACACATTGAACTCGGATGGCCAGCCCTACCGTGGTTTCAAAACGAAATTCGGTTTTGCAAGTCATATTAGAGCCCCCCTCCTGAAGACACAGAGTTTCCGGATGCGGTGTGGATGGAATCACCCTGCTTTGCTTGACTGGGATTACAAGGGACAGTTAGTTCCTATCGGCAGCATCCACCACCGGCCATCTGTCTCTCTGTCAGTTGTCGGTCAGAGTTACATGTCCACGGCCTTGAAATCTAGAGAGAATGAAACCATTTGTAGACTTAACTTTTCTCCACTGTGTCCTCTAAACAGAGCCCCAAGTTCGAGTTTATTTTACACGACCTCCAGATTAGCAGTCAGGGTCACTAACAACTGGTGGTTAGTGACCCTGACTGTTGGTCCAGGACCAACAGGTCGGTATATTCAAACGTACATATAAATGCATATGTTTCTTAATTCAAACACTTGATATATAACTTGTAATTGATATAACCGACACAAAGTACACTCAAATTGGTTAGCACTATTTTGCCAACGGTGGCAAATTAAATGTAACTATATAAGCACGGTTATGAGTATAGCAGGTAGCAGACTAACATAACAAACCTTTACCTAAACAATTTGCACATTCAATAGTTACATTTCCATTGAGGTAATAGTCACGGAAACAGTTAAGTACATGCTAATTAATTTCGCAGAGGCTTTATATAAACACGTTTATTATGCGGTGACCGCGCGGGCGTGTACGTAGTGGCATCCTAGTTATTATTTAAATGCGAAAGTGATTTTGTTTCGTACTCTTTCATGCTTAAACTAGTCAACTGAGCTGATCGATATGTTTGCTGAAACACTCAATGCCCAAGCCCAATACCGGCTTACTCGGGAATTGATCTTATGACCTCAGTATTGTCGTAACAGCCGTATTTATATACTAGTGAGTAGTTGATATACTACTTAACGTATTATTCTATTTCTAGTTATAATTGTTAGAGAAGACGAAAGATCCTGTCTTGAAAGTCGCCTGAGACGACAGCCGCTGCGAACTGGTCGAAACGTCAGACGATTCGAAGATTTATAATAGATGTACCTCTAATAAAATAATTCATTACATATAGCTATATATACGCGAAAGTATACGAATTTGTTTCACTTGTTTTTTATGTCTGGCCTTGACTCATTTTTTGCATTCGTAGGGTTAGGTAAAGCCTTTTTATGTACTTAGATTATCTTTACATCATGACATCCTAACGTGAACATAATTTTTTCCCGGATAGTATCGATATTGTCCGATACGACTTAATTCTTAAATTTTTACTACCAGTATAATACACAGTACAATACTTAATTACGTAACTTAAATTACCAATTGATTATACATTTATTACGATAGATCAATCATCAGAGCAATAAATTAGTCTAAAATATTATTTGAATTTTTAACTTAAATACTCGTTAACAGAGTAGAAACATCTGTCAACAAGCCATCTGAACAATTGTTTCTTGACCTTTTTAATAGGTAAATGTCTAGCATCTTCGGGTAGGTGATTGTAGACACTGACATTGCATAATTATTTCGACTACATATTTCGGTTTTTATTGTTGGAAGCACAAGATTATTTGGATTTCGTGTATTGAATTTATAAGATTAAGAATACAGAGTGTCACCACCCCTATTCATCCTTTGGGTGTCGTAAGAAGCGACTAATGGAGAAAACAGCACTGCAGAGAGAAGGAAAACTTCAAACCCTATTCCAACCCGTCTGGCCAGCGTGGTAAAGTAGGCCAAACCTCCATTCTAAGGAGAGGCTTATGTCCAGCATTGGACTATTAAAGGCTGTTGAAGATGATGATGATGATGATGAAAGACATGGTACAGTTAACAATGAAAGTTAATGGAACAGAGGCGTACACGTTATCCAGGGTGCCACGTTGCAAATCGCTCTAACACATGGCCTTTGAGCAATAAATGCTTTATTTATATTTACCCAAAGCACCATAAATGCATAATACGCCTCAAGCGCTGTTTGTTTGTTGGCAATCGTTGTTAGTCTCCATAAAGCATAAACAAATCTATTAATTTTGTTTTCAGTTACATGTATGATCCAACGTTATACCAAGAAAAGAAATCTCATTAGTTTCAGATCAAGTTTCACCATTATAATTTACATTTAGCTCAAGCTTTTTACCTCCTCTGTTAAGAAATTGTATATATTCAATTTTTGCAATATTGACACTTACATTATTATGAATTAACCAGTGTATTACTTTACCGACAGTTTCATTAAGTAAATTATTGTAATTTTATTCAAAGTTCTCTGGTATTAGTAAACAAATGTCATCCGCGTAAGGGATAGGTCTATGTCTTGTATTAGCGGGCAAATCATTTATATAGAAAAGAAGCGGGCTGAGTATAGTCCCCTGAGGCACACCTACCTTGTTGTATCTAGCGTCACTTCTTCATTTTTTGAATTAATGTTCGTGACTTCAACGAATTGGGTCCTATCACTGAAATAGCTTTTTGGCCAGTTTTGTGCCAGATCATGTATGCCATATACTCGTATATCACACTTCTGTAGCAGAAATTCGGGTTTTACAAAATCAAACGCCTTACTATTATACAAAAGTATCTCAAGTAGTACACTTGAGATACATTATTCTTAATCTGTCCTGATCGATTTGATAAGAAATCGATTTTTATTTACTTTAAATGTTACAAAAAGTACTGTTTTAAATTCGTTTTGATTTTATTTATTATATACCTATAATGTTGACAATTTCTTTAGGTTAACATGCCAATTAAAACTTTGGTCGTACAATAAATATATTATCCATCTTTTCACTTCATGCTATATTTTGTTCTCAGAAAAAAGGTTAATTCTCAGAGGCATATATATGTACGTTCGAGTTCATTAACCTCTAAATCATTTTAACTATTATAAAACGAATGTGTTTTAACTCTCCAGAAATGTTGTCACTTCTCTAAAAATCATAATAATATATTGTCTATCGAAAGTCGGTCTTCTTCGCTGTTCATAAATGTTAGTTTTGACTGTTCATGTTTTGGTCAAAAATGCTAATTATCATTTTTGTAAATAAACAAGTTGTTTTATTTGAAGGAAGAGTCAAAATCAACGAAGTACGGATCTTGACTTTAAAGAAGAAGCTTGCAAAGTTTATTGTTTATTAACTAAAACTAAATAAATATAAAAGACAGCAGTGTTCTAATTTCAGCAACTTTCTCTTGTAGTTTGGAGATGGTGCATTCACTACAAATCTCAAATATTTCCATTGGAGTGGAGGGAAGCGAGGTGAGTATTGTTTTACTTTATATATATATATAAATAAATATATACAGACGGACAAGGTAAATTGTACTTATTATATGGCATCAGGTTGCGTCTAAATTTGAATACATTACCGTGACTACACGGATGGCGTAGTGGTTTGAGCCGTGGCTACGCCGTTTACTACGCTAAGTGTTGTGGGTCCGATCCCCACATGGGACGACAGTTTCTGTAATCCACAAATTGTTGTTCTGAGTCTGGGTGTTCGTGGTGTCCGTATCATGATGTTTGTAAAGTTCGCTGCGACACAAGATATATTCCTAATTCAGGAGTTGTTTTTGTAAAAAGAAGGAAAAGAAACAAACTGTTTGAGATTATTGTTTTGTGGTACGAGTACGAAGTCTGGGAGGATGCTATCGTAAGTTTTGAAATAGGGGGTTAAGCCTATCGCATGATGGCATGTTAAACTCCTATTAGGTAGATAGGTATACCCACATCCGTCTAAACCTCGATTTAGACCTTTCGAACGAAATAAGAAGAAAAATGGTAATATACAATATTATTTTTATTTGTGTGTAAGTTAAATAATACCAGATTTTTTTATTCATTTGTTAATTATGTAAAATATCATATGTGTGGTGACGGGTTAAGAATACGGAGTGTCACTAATAATAAACAAATCTGCACTACTAATAGAAGAGGCCTATCTCTAGCAGTGGACGTGGTGTGTTGGTGGTGGGTTCGATTCCCACCCGGGACAATTATTTAAAATGATGTGATTAAAAGCCCTCAGACGACTTACAAGACTTTATTACCACTACTCGTACAGTAGTACTACTACCATTCTGTTCGCTTTGACCACTTCAATGTTCATCGCACTGTAGCTCAAACTAGTAGCTCAAAAAAAAATACAGGCACGTCTTCGCCGGTAAGACACTCCGTCTTACCGGCGAAGACGTGCCTGTATTTTATTACTCGTTGAACCACTACAAAGGTTATTTCCATAGATTCTCATCCTTATGAGAACTTTCTGTTGCCGGGAAACGTATACATTCAAAACGAGTACGTTTTGAATGTAAACAAGACCGAGCGACAATCTATTTCCAATCTTATGTGTATGATTTTAAGCTCAATGTCCCGTGCCGAACTGTTTTATTATTAATTAAATTATAATTGGTCCTCTGGTTCCGATGGGATTCAGTAACTTCACACGTGTAATAACTTTCAGACAGTAAACGTATTATAATATTTTAACTCAGCACTCTACACTCTGTGTACAACAGCTATGTTCTACGCCAGCGACCACTATTTTTAGTATACAACTGTACACCTTTTCTCCCTTAAGAGATAGTCTTGGCCTCTACACTCCATAGTCGCCAGCTACAGTTACGATACAGAACTCCGAAAATTTAATGTATTTCTACTAATTGTGGTAATTACTAAAATAAAAATTAAAATGTACAAAATGAAATGAATTATAAAATATAGAGTTACGACAGAAAACGGATCATAATGTAGGCGTGCTCTAAGCCGTAGAATTCATGTTATTCATAAAAGAAACAAGAAAACCCTTTAAAAAAAAAGTTGAACCGACTTCAAACAACACTAATAAAGAGCACTAAAAACCTAACAGCAATCGCGGTTGATTTGCTGTCATTTTTTTGAGGAGTTCCGTTGTCTGTCTCTGAAACTCATCATCAGATTTATATGAAATTTAAATGCTACCATTTCGGAATAAACTTCGATCACTTCCCCAAACATGTTCTAGACTAGAACCCCAGGGAAAGCGCAAGCGTAGTCGTCCGTGGCACACTTAGCGACGAACAGTGGCAGATAGGGCTAGGAACATCTCGGCAAGACGTAGAGCGAAATAAAGCACGAGGCTCAGGACCGGTCTAGATGGAGACTTGCTGTGAACGCTGACTGCGTTCACAGCAAGTCAGTTCAGGGAACAAAGGACATTAAAGGTGCCTTGTGGTTTTATATTAAAAAAAGTTAAATTAGATAAAATCAGTTTGCATTGTCACTGAACTATTTATTTTGCAGGAAATATTTCGCATTCAGCTTTGAATTTTATTCATATCATGATCATATTCATTGGTATTCAAATCTTAATTCAAAACGGTAATCACATTGTAGAAATACTTAGGTACGAGGATTTTTTGTACTATGTGACGAAATGATAGCAATACAGTTTAGAACGTAACTGAGCAATGCAAGATGAGGTATTTCTAACTAGTATATCATTGTCTAAGTCACCTAGCATTACCACGCTACTTAGACATTTTTTTACATATTTGGGCAATATTATTAACCATGGCAAGTAGTAGGCCAAAATCTCTTTTCTAAGGAGAGGCCTATGTCCAGCAGTGGACTATTAGAGACTGTTGATGATTAACCGTTGGGAACTCATGCTTCGACACAAATGGGCTAGTTGGACTGGAGTGATGCCACGGCTTCACATGAAAATCGGTGGGTGGCAATTCTTTTTTTTTCTACGAGTGAGTTAACAAAAGGCTGGATGGGTGTCCATGAACGGCAGTTGTCACTTACCATCAGGTCACACGTCTGCTCGTCAGGCTTATTCAAAAACTAAAATAAAAAACGGCGTGAGGGGTCTATGGATCCCCGGTCGGAACAAAGTTCCTTTCGCTTTTTTTGGTAGATGTTTGCTATATATACATGTGAAATATGAAAAAGACGTGAGCGTCGATGCAACTGAAGTGACTCCCCAGAACGTGTAACGCGCAATAAGGAACTTCGTTCCAAAAATTCTGTAAGTTGCAAAAGAGTGCCAAAAATTCTGTAAGTTGAAAAAGAGTGGCCATGACTTTGTTTTTCCCTTTCTTCTCATAAGGCTCAACCCCTTGGAAACTGGCGGTTGTAGATTTTGTAAAATATAATATAATTTTATATAATTTTTCTTTCCTTTCTATTTGACAAAACAGAAATTGTTGCTGTTTTGTGTGCGTTGATCTACGACTTTAGAATCTACTTAAAAGATGATTTCGTACAATTTTATTTATTTAATGAAATAAAGATATTTTAAATTTGAATTTGAAAAATAAACACTGATCGCTTTTATGTATTAGGTAGGTTCACTTCCAAAATTAACGAACAGCCCTTAACGTGTACTAGTCTAAATAAAGTTGTTCTAGTAAGAAAGGGGGCGACACTCGAAGCTTTGAGTGTCTCGTCCGGTAGATAAATATTCGTACGTAAAGGTAAGTGAGACCGGTCGAATTAAGAGCTCTTCAAACTTAAGCCTACTTAAGATCCATGGGTCCATACTTGATATCGAGTACTGGTTCTCTTAAATCGATGTATTAAAGTCGCGATAAACTTCATGTCTAGTACCATACATTCATACACGAACCCACCAGTACCCCTTTGGGTATAGATTCTCTAGATTCTCAAAAGGGTACTCCACTACTGCGCAGTAAACGCCCATATTTCGACGATTATGTTAATACCACTTGCGTAATAGGAGCAAGCCTATATTGCCGTCAACCGGTAACTTTAGGACTTAAGTGGAAAAATTGAGACATTCAATTTCAAAAGATTCTAAAGTTGTTAATATTAGACGGCAATAATATTGCTTATACAGATCTATAAGGGACTGAAGGCAATAAGTCAACAAGGTCAGGTTGACATACGTGTAAGTCACGGCGTGCGGTTTTTGGTCGGTTTAAGTCCGATATAACCACTGGCGGGTGATATCCGATGGTATTGCCGCACAGAAAGAAAAGGAGTCGTATTATTACAGTTTTTCAATTAAGTGCCATCGCAAAAGTGACCATGGATAAAGGAGGTCATATTCGAACCATCAACGATTGTTTTATTCATGGGACCATTGATAAATGGTGTTTCAGCGAACCGTTCATCGGTGAACTATAATAATTTGTAGAACCGACTTCGGACGAAGGGTCTTTTCAGCGAACAGTTCATCGATGAAAGGTAATTCGGAATTCGATTCTGAGCTCATATGAATCGGGTCTTACTCTTTTTAGTTACTTGACGTCAATATTTTAGACACAAATAAAATGATGAGAGCTCGTCGTTCGTACTTCGTTAGTACAAACAAAAATAAAGTTAAGTTAACTTCGACATTACACTTACATAAGTCTATTGACTTTTCTTTTTTTTTTTGATGATTCCGAACTCCGTTATTTATGGATCGATTTAGAGAATTTTCATTTAGGAATTTCATTCAAATTGTATGTATGGAAGCCGGTTAGATTTGCTAAAGAAGTTTGTTTGTTTTTTTTATGTTAGTTAACGTCTTTTTTTAATGGGTGTGTGGTTTGTGTACCCACAAGTGTAGCAATGAAAGGCGCACGCCAGTATATAAATGTAGTATTTTCCAACAACAATTTAAAGTATATATTTCGGGCATCTAAAAGATATCTCTAAGGCGATTACGAGTACTACTGTTTACAAGCCTAGGGTGTCTCCTATTAGAGGAGAAATCTTCGTTTCGTTTGGCATTCTCGTCATAATCCTATTTTTGATAGTTTATCATTTTATCATGAAAGATAACTTCAGCAACAGCTTTTAAAGGTCGTTGAATTCATTTCAAAGGCTTCTCTGGCTTATATCTGATCATGGTTTGACATGTCTAGTAATAGATTGTTTTCAGGGTTATATAGACCTAACATGGAACCCTTATTGGTTGGCCGTCTGTTTGTCCGTCCATACGTGGTTTAGCTTCCAGCGTGGTTGCCCATCCTTACAAAAAAAATCTCATCTACCCCATAGTGTGAAATATCATTACATAAGTTAATTTTAAGTTGACAGTAAAGTTCTCAAGACTTGAATATTTAGAAAGAAAAGTTTCACGACCAAGTTAGCTTGCTTAATTTTTTAATAATAGGCTCCCAAATTATAAAAGGTACAAAATACATATTATGCTGTTTAGAAAAAAAATACTCAGATGATATTCTTACGTGTTTAAAACATGTGATAAATAACTAAAAAAGTGGAGGTTCTCAAGTCTTAATTGTTTTTTTTAATGAAGTTTAATGAGTACTAGAGGATTTTGAATGTTCTAGAAAATAACATAATATGTAAATGTAATCTAAAGTGTTATTGTTTATGAATAATAGAAATGTGTCTGTAAATAAATACCTAATAAGTATTACATGAACGAGTGTTCACGAAACTTTGTTCAGAATGGTTCTGTGTGATATTTGATACAAGATAAAAAAATATCTATATTTTATTTACAGTAATTTGTGTGTGAATATTTACTTAAATGAATACTGTTATTGACTCATTGACATTGAGTTATTTTAGCGAATACGGTTAAATATACTACAATAACATGTAGGATTAATAATTGTAACTGTTTGACGCCACACATTTTTCCAAAGACAATCTCTAAAACGAAAATTCTGCTAATAGTTTGTTTGTACATGTGACATAAAAATAGATACACAGATTAAACACATTGCAATGAGTGTTCTTCTTCCAGTTTATGGGGCGTAGAGGCAAGGAGAACCCTCTCACATGGGGGAAAGTTGAAAAAGTGTCCAGCTATATACTGAAAGTAGAGGTCGCTGGCGGCAAAACTAGATTTGAACATAGCTGTTGTAGACAGAATGAAGTGTGTTGAGTTAAAATATTATAATAGGTACTTTTATTGTCTGAAAGTTTTTACACATTTATTTAATTTTCGCATTATAGTGCTTAATTATTATTCAAGCCAATAAAAAATTGTCCTAAGCTACCGTAGCGCCACCCTTATTGGACGCGTTTTTACTGACACTTTTCATACACAGAGATGGTTCTCCTTGCCTTTACCCTCCATGTTCCGTTTCACAGTGTTTCTTACAAATGTAATTATTTGTGTCGGCAGGTGCCCGCAGACGCAGGCAAGGAGAATGACAGAAAGGGCAATGTTACCTACGGAATTGACGATGTCCCGCCCTGGTATTTGTGCATCTTCATGGCTTTACAGGTTTGTGATACACTTTATATGTATTTATTTAAGCAGCGATAGATCAGCTTTAAGGCTGTAAAATTAGTTTTCGGTTAAACTTAATAAAACATACCATAAGCTTAATACCCAAGTACATGCAGTGCTAATCTACTTGGCTGTATGATCATTATTCAACCACATTTTTCTGATAATAGGACCGACACCTCTGTATGTTGGTTTTCACTTCTGTCAGCACTCCCGGAGTGTCACTGTCTTTTTTCTTCGTTTTTCACCGAGTAAGTGAGATTAACGGACGGCTCGACCTCCAACACCCTAATTCTAGGGTGAAGGGCATCAAAGGGTGGCGACTCACTTGTATCTCCTGAGCTGCAGGTGTCCATGGGCGGTGGTAGTCACTTACCATCAGGTGACTGACGGCCACTTACCGCCTGCTCGATAACCCCCTACACCTTAGATATATTTAAATGAATTAATGACCTTAAGTGCCCTTTTAGCATCCCTAAACAATAATCCAAATAACTCCCAAATTAATCGATGAGTCTACTCGAGATACTAATTAGAATGTATTTACCCAGAAATCTGTTTACGCAGAAAGTTTTAATGAGGCGCCTGTTTAGAAGGGATGGGGATTAGGGCCCATACATGAGTTACGTCACACGAATTTTATGTTTTTACACGCTTTATATTAGCTTCACTTGTATGTTTGTTTGTAACCGACTCCTTTGGGCGTGATTTTGACTGACTTTAAACGGTCAGAATTCGTTCAAACTTTGTAGATATATCGAGGACCGATGACAATACATAATTTAAAAAAAAATAGTTTTAAAAAACTAAAAAACATGCGTACTATAGAAAACCAAACTAAAAAATAGAAAATATATTTGAAAAAACGCGTGGGGTGCTTTTTACTATTGACAGCAGGCACCCAACGCTTTTTTTCTATTTTTTATTTTATTATTTTCTATTTTTTAGTTTGGTTTTCTTTAGAAAGCATAATTTTTTTTTGATCCTAACCCCTTTTGTCACAGCTGGTCACTATTGTAAGATAATCCCCTCTATTCTATGATGTCACATGTCACAATAATTTCTAGATGTTAAATCGCAGATTGTTTAATTAAAATAACAGTTCCGAAATTGTATTTTTTTTTAATTTAGTTAGTTTATTGCCTTTTGAAATGTGACGTCACGAAACTTAGGACCGTCCCGCCCCTAGTTACATAAAATCAAACTTCATCAACCCTCCTTATAGTGACGTAATTTATGAATGGGCTCCTAGGAGTATTCTACAATATCGCTGTTTATTCGGATAATTAGTTTTCAGAAACTGATATGAAAGTTTTATTCACAGAAAATAGTCTCGCCAATACGGTTTGTAATTGATTTCAGGATGTGATGATTTCTTGTGCTATTTTTAATTTTCGTTACATTATAATAAACTTTGCGGGATTCGTGACAGCATTGTGTAGAAGGACGTGGCCAACCGTGGCATTGTCACGAATCTTGATCAGAAGGACTCATGTTTTCAAACACGGGCTGGTTGGGCCGGAGTAGTACCTACCACGGTCTCTCGTCAAACCAGTGTTAAACAAGTCCTTAATTGCTTTTCATCGAGGCCCAAACCCCACATTCAGGAGAGATTAACGCATTTGTGACTCTGTTGCACATACGATCAGGACCTGTCTGTTCGTTTGCACTAGACATGAGACAATATCACAATGAACTGTGAATGAACGGCGATTTATCATTCGATTTTTTCGTAAATAGATTAGGGTTAGTTTTCAGACCATGCATAAAGACCCAATTTCGCCTAGTATAGGTGCACACGCACAATGCAGAATTCCATATCCCATTTAAAGAAAAAACTTAAGTAAACTTTAGTTATTCCTACTTATTAGAGAGGTTTAGAAGGTCGTTTTTTCCACAGCACTATTTGACCATGATCGGAGCAATAGTGGCAATCCCGTTCATCCTGTGCCCAGCGCTGTGCATGAAGGAAACTGACCCGGACAGGTCTAATATCATATCTACCATGATTTTTGTCACTGGTATGTATCGCTATAGTTTTAATTTATTATTGAGAGAGGTATTAGGTACGATAAATGGATACCGTATTAAGTGAATGTATTAGGTGTCTTGTAAGTATCCTAATATGTGATTTATTATCTGTACACTAAAACTTCCTGAAACTATGTAACATACGTCGGACATGAAAATCGATCCATTATTTTTTAGGATTTTCGCATACATACAACACATAAAAATCGAACACAGAACTAACTATACTTGTGTGTTTGTGATAGGGAATGTTACGATTTTGGTTCTCTGTTGTACTGAAAATTAAACGGGGCAGGTTAGTCGTTTTATAAAATATAGTCGTTGTTTAAAAGGGGTATTTACAGAGAATTATTGTTCACGATATATTTTTATTTTGAAAAAAAGACAACTCCCGCACTAGGAATATATCCTGTGTCGCGGGGGACTCCACAAACACACACGAAACGGACACAAAGAACACACAGACTCAGAACAACAAAGTGTCGTCCCATGTGGGGATCGGACCCACATTACTCAGCGTAGTAATAAGCGGCGTGGGGACCACTGAAACCAGTACACCATCCGTGCAGTCAGATAATAGTTTAGTTAGTCAGTTTAGTTTACACAATCATAATACCAATGACTTTGCTTGCGATTGATTCGATTTACGTTCCTATCATTGTTGTTATGTTTAAAAGCAATGGAGATCTATTTCTTAGCGTTCCATGGATTCGCCGTGCGGGTGACGGGTCCATTATCATTACCAATGCAACCATAACGTGCCAAAGGTGAAACGTGGCAGGGTACAGCTAGTAATCTATAAAATGGTACACTACTCGTATGTATGGCGAGAGCTTCAGTGAATTAAATTAAACTAAATCGGGTTAGTTGTTTATTTTTCAAAACTTTTGTTATTTGGGTTTTGAACATCTTGGAATAAGGTATTATAGGTGCGAGTTAGTTAATCTCAGCGCGGTTAAGCTTTGTCGTTTCCAGCCTGCAGATATTAAAATTTCAAAATAAAAAAAATACCATTTTATAGATCTCAATTAGCCCTTTCGACCTACGTTAATTAATTTATAAGCCCCTTTTTCGTTTTCCCAGGAAAAATAGATTTATAATTTTCAATTTTCCTCTACTTAAAATAGCCATATCTCTTTGAAAAATGATTATTTTTTACTCTACCAAGCGTAAAAAAATTGCCCTTGCGCTAATTTAATTTGCCCGCGTGCTAATTCTTAAAAATATTCAATAATTAATATTGTAAACAGTAAAAAACCGTCGTGGCATTTCCAAGTCAATTATGCGCATGCGCGACAGAATCAGACAGAAATCAGCTGATGCTACACGCACGTAAGGACTTTAAAAGTTATTATATTACTGTTTCGGGAAGTTTTTCAGTACTATTGGATTCATTGTTACACATCAAACTACCAAAGGCACATGCCTTTGGTAGTTTGATGTGTATGTGTAAATTTATAATTAAAATTTTCAAGAATTGAAACAAAGAAATAAACCAAAAAACATAGCTATTTTATTAATACGAGTAAATATTGACATTTCTTTTTTTTTTTAAATGTATGTATGCTTAAACAGGCCCAATCAACACGTACTATATAATTTTGGAGCAAATCAGCAGAAAGATGAAATCTCCATGATTCCGTGACTAGTCAATAACACCTATTAAAATAGTTAGCTGCTTCCTCTTGGCTTGGAAGTTTACTTTTTAAAGTCTTGAAACGCTTAATAGAAAGTCTTGCTTCTGCATTTTTTTTCTTGTGCAAGAGGTTAGATTATTTTAAATGCACACTTTTGACATATAATATGCCACTTATTTTGATTTTTGATGGATGAAGTGATATTTTTTTCCTTCCGTGCGTGTAGCATCAGCTGATTTCTGTCTGATTCTGTCGCGCATGCGCATAATTGGCTTGGAAATGCCACGACGGTTTTTTACTGTTTACAATATTAATTATTGAATATTTTTAAAATTAGCACGCGGGCAAATTAAATTAGCGCAAGGGCAATTATTTTAAGTAGAGGAAAATTGAAAATTATATTTCTATTTTTCCTGGGAAAACGAAAAAGGGGCTTATGAATTAATTAACGTAGGTCGAAAGGGCTAATTGAGATCTATAAAATGGGTTTTTTTTTTATTTTGAAATTTTAATATCTGCAGGCTGGGACGTGCCCGGTGCCGTAAGCTTGGCCCTCCTGATGGTTTGGGGGACGCGGGGCGGGTGATGCGCTCGGCTATACTTAATTTACACACGATGTAATAAAATCGAAATTATTTCCATGTATTATAATGTCTTTGTTTAACTATAGTGTGACGGAAAAAACCATGAAAAGCAATCAGTGTGCTGTTGAACTGTTGATAGATAATAGACTTTATGGACCTGTAAACAGTGTAAACGTTTTATTGACTGTCAAGTCACGGTTTCACAAAGATGTTTATTTAGACCCGTATAATATGGATGATAAATAGTATCATATACGACATGTCGAATAACAAACTAATAAGTAAGTTACTATTTGCAGACTGTTTAACGTTGTTATAATTTAATACACTTATTTATTTCTATACTTATATGTATATTATTCTGCACTTGTTGGATGTTAGTAAACTAAACGTTAGTAAATTCTCATAAAGATATTGATAATTTTTTTATTCGTGATTGAGTGGATCTCCTAATGGGTGCGTATGTGTATGTATGTTTGTGTGTGTGTGTGATGCAATAACCGTGTAATGCCTCCTGAATATTTTTGTGTTCTATGTCTTTTTAAAACAACAAAATAAATCTGATTAAAACTTCGCGTACTATCTGATTGACTTCTGGTTGGTCTTGATGACGATGATGAAAAGATTATTTTGAAAGTAATGGTAGAACGGAAGGATAAACAGAGAAGTTTTAGAACGTATTAAACCAGGTTTAGTGATGATTATAAGTAGAATTTCGTGGATAGCAACACGTAGTTATGTTATGTGAAATTCATCCCGTGGCTGTCGTAAGAACCGACTATGCGAGAAAACTAAATAGGACAACAGCACTGCAAAGAGAAAGAAAACTAGACACAAACCGTATACAAACCCATCTGGCCAGCGTGGTAGATAGCAGGCCAACACCTTCTTTCTAAGGAGAGGCCTAAGTCATGCAGTGGACTATTAAAGCCTGTTGATGTGATGTATGTATTCAGAAACATATAAGCAATAAGCATGTTTATTTAGAAATATATCTGCCTGGTTGACGGCAACAGATTAGTCTTAAATTTCTATGGCCTACGTAAGTTGAACTACAATTATAGTACGTTAAACGTGGACGCAAAATACGTCTCTGTTTACCCTTTACGGGGTTAAGACGTGATTATGGTATGTATCAAACAAAAGTAGTCAATCTTAGTAAGACTAGGTTAGCGAAACTAGTCGCCTCAATGCTTCGAACTCCGAGGACATCCTTAGGTTGCGTAAAATTATGTAAGTAATTTAATGTATTATTATGTATTTAATGTAAGTAAAAAGTAATACTGTTACTGGTTGATAATGTAGCTTTCCATCAGTGAATTTTTAAAATAGTTTTAGTGGCTTGACGTGAAAGCGTAACAAACAAACAAACAAATTCACTTTTATAACATAAGCATGGTTTTCACATTTGGACAAAAGTCCTTAGACTGGATAGACAAGTTTGAAAAAAAATTACCAACTTTATCATTTTCCTTTTTATAAACCTTTTTTTTTTGACGGGGTGGAAAATCCCTTCGGATCTCCTGCTCCTCGGGGCTAGGAGCTAGGAGTATGTTGTGATTCCACTAAAAACCACCCCGACGGCCGGCCTCAGGTGTCCTACTCTGGGAGGACCTGGACCATGTTATTTCAGGTCCTCTTCTTTTTATATACCTAGGCTACAGAGATTTAACGGCAAGTCATATTTTTAAAATATTTACTTAAAAACAACAGAAAGAGAAAAATAACTATAATACATACATTCACCACCTAACTAAATTAAAATTATTACCTATGTCATTCTATTATGACTTTTATTACGCCTCGGTGGGGCAGTGGTAGCGTATGCGCCTGCTGTGCTGTGGTCTCGGGTTCGATTCCCGGGTCGGGATGTTTATATGATCTGCAAATATTTGTTTCGGAGTTTGGGTGTTTTCTATATATATATTTACAAAAAAAACTATGTATAATATGTTTTCTATGTATAATATGTATGTATTTACAAAAAAAAAACAAATATATAAGTATTCTATCAGTCAATCTAGCTTTCATAGTACAAGCTCTGCTTAGTTAGAAACTAGATGGCATTGTGTGTCATATGAAAAATGTTATATATTAAAATATACTGACTGAGCCCGTGGCTGCTTTACTTCACACATTTTTATTAGTTGTATCAGATTTATTTCTTTTGACAACCCCGTGACGTGAGAGAGCGATTCGAGCAATTTACATGTAGGCAATCGTTGTTCATTGAGGCAGAAATTTAAAGAAATAAATATAATGACAGTGGCATGTCAATCTATATATGGAAATGTAATATATGTTCATACAAACATAGCTAATTAAAATGAAGTGATGTAGGTACATGCTTTAAATACCATAAATAGAATTAAACTTGTAGTACCTGCCTTTAGGCTCCAAAATATAAACAAGTCATCGAAAAGATTTAAAAAAAAATGTGGTAAAAGGATATTAAATAAATAAAAAATCGCGTTAGTATTATTAAAATAAAACTAAGACATTCACTTTGCCTTTTACAGGCCGGTTGCGATGAACTAAACTGATGTACCATAACACCTACATTTAAAATCCGTCAATTGACATTATTAATCTTTTCAACACCTCTGCTATTAAATGATCACCAAGAAATTCTCTAAATGTAATAGGTACATTTCATTTATTTTTTTTGTAAACGGGAGTCAAAGGTTTAAGCTGAAAACCAGCGCTTGGTAATCCATGTGAAGTCCAAACATAAGCTAACGCTTAGACCTTTTGCTTTCGGTTTTATAGTTTTTCTGTATATTTCTACAAAATTGCTGTAATGCTGAAATCAATAAACTGGTAGTCTATTCTATTCTAATTTGGTAATATATACCCAGGAGCATTTTAAAGAAAGAATGCGTAAATCAATCTGTAGCCTATCTAACTGAGTACAGCGCTGTCCTTTGACCTTGATTGAGGGAAAACGCGAGAGGATACAAGGTACTACTACAGATAGGTGTAGTTCTGTTGGGGGTTTAGTAGAGAACTAACAATAAAATAACTAATAATTTGGACTGAGTGCACGGAGGGCGTAGTGGTTTAAGCGGTCATCTCGCCGCTTTCTACTGCGCTGAGTGTTGATGGTTCGATCCCCATATAGAACAACACTTTGTGTGATAAATTATATTTATTTCTATGAATACACATTTCACAAATTTGATACACGAATTGTTTTTCTGAGTCTGGGTGTTCTTTTTGTCCGTTTCATGTATATTTGTAAAGTCCCCCGCGACACAGGATTTATTCCTAGTGCTCTAGTGCAGGAGTTGTCTTTAAAAAAAGAATTGTCTCGTAGTATCCACTAAACGAAAGAAGACTTGATTATCAAAGAAAGACGAGTTATTGATGTAGGTCGAGCCCAATAGGAAACCGGTGTCAAGTAAAGGTTCCCTCCCTCTCCTCCTATTTCGGGAGGGGAGGCACACAATGTGTGGCACTTGTATCTCTTGAGTTGCAGGTGTTCATGGACTTACCATCAAGTCATCAGATACATGTGCTTGTTGTTGTATTACTCACATAGAAAAAATATCAAAAGCCTTTAATAGTCCACTGCTGGACATAGGCCTCTCCTAAGAAAGGGGGCTTTGGGTATAGGTACCACGCTGGCAAGATTGGTTGGTTTGTGTCAAGTTTTCCTTCTCTTTGGAGGGCTGTTGACCTTCATAGTTAGTTCCCTTATCTGTCCCTCTGTCCCTTACTGTCAGGACAACTAAGGGATGAAAAATCATCATACAGACGAAAGCATAAAAACACAAACGCCTAAAACTAATGTTATAGCAATACTCAAATAAATTGTTTGCTCAGTGTAAGCGTATTCAGAGGTCAATGACTCGACTCTGCAGCTGTACTTGTTCAATTGCAATAATTAAAATGGCGCCGACATTAAATATACATTGACTCGTGTCTAAGTACTGCATTCTCAAACGGTCCGTGCTTTAAAATGAGATGATATATTTAAAAGTAGTAAAAACATTGAACTCCATTTTCTACTTAAGAGAACGGACAATCGATGTGATGACAATTTGTGCTCAGACCCAAATCTATACTAATATTATAAAGCTGAAGAGTTTGTTTGTTTATTTGTTTGTTTGTTTGTTTGAACGCGCTAATCTCAGGAACTACTGGTCCGAATTGAAAAATTCTTTCAGTGTTAGATAGCCCATTTATCGAGGAAGGCTATAGGCTATATATCATCACGCTAGGACCAATAGGAGCGGAGCACCAATGAAGAATGTTTCAATAACGGAGAAAATTTATTACTATTGAGAGACGCAGACGAAGTTGCGCGGGTCAGCTAGTACTGTATATACAGTTTTAAAAAGTTAGCTTAGCGTATGCGGGTCCCCTGGAGTTGCAAGCGTTAGTAAGTAACGGTAACCGCTTACCATCAGGTAGGATTTTTTACCACTGATGTGGTATGTAAAAAATATTTTTACTGCATTAGTCTGAAAAATAGTATGTCGATACAGAATATTTTTGTTATATCATAATATTGACAGAACTTAATTACTTCGTGTAAATTACCTACCTGATAAAATAATAAGAAAAAATAAAATAAAGAAAGTGATAAATATATTATTTAATTAACTATCAGTTTTTTTAGGGTGGGTCGCGTTACGAACCTGCATAGCTTCATTGTTAAGCCCTGGTAAGGTCTGGTCACGGCAGTCGGGTCTAAGTTAGGCCATGCAATGGGGATATAAAATTTATGTGACTCTTATAAATTTTCATTTAGCTCTTTGGGGTCTCATCTCTGTTCTACTAGTGTCTTGTTTTTAATTATTATTTTGTGTCCTATTGAACCACTACTCTACTACACATAAAAAAACACTAATGTATGTATTTGACAACGGATAAACAGCCATTATGTGTGGGTGTAAATACCTACAGTCACACACAATATTGTGTACTATTATTAAAGTACCTTTAAACTTTCGCGTTCCATGATAATTAATATTATTTTAACGGGAATTAACGCGATCTCTTATTTAGGGTATTACATACCTCTGGTTTGCCTGACGTTTCGACCAGGTTGCACCGGCCGTGGTCACAGGCTGGTTATTACTTGTTCTGTGAATGTCAACAGAATAAGTAATATTGTACTAGCTACAACTCTTCGCCCCTTTGGTTTCGTATGTTTGTTTAGGTATGGAAATTTATATTAGGTACTTTAGAAACATGCATCCTTCAGTCTACGTACGAAATGACTTAAAAACATTATAAAATTCAAACCGTTATGCTGTTTGTAGCGACTATAATGCGAAACTGCAGTACACATTTGTATATGTCAGGCTAAAACTGTTTTAACCTACACTATACAAGAAAATAGAAAAGCATTTCCTGGTGAGTCGGTTCATTTATTGTAACTGCTGCACTTGTAACATACGTTAATATCGAGATTATATATATATACTAGCAAACCCGGCGAACTCCGTTTCGCCACCAGATGGCTTCGTTTTATGTAACATTTCGTTTGGTGATTAAAAGAAGAAGAAAAATATTTTTTTTGTTTTATATTTAAAAAGGAAAAAAATTATTTCATTTCACAACAGTAATGAATTCATTTCGATTACAAAAATGAAGTGTTATTTAGTTGAACTTCTCTAAGTAAATGAAAGTGAATCCAAAGTAAATACTGAATCGAAGCGTTATACGTGTCCGCAAATTATCCGTTTCATTGAAGTGCTCTTTGGTAAACCACATTTTTTATTTTTTGGTCTGACGTTAACACAAACCAAGCGCATGGTTTCCCAACTCGTGAACACGCAACGTATAACTGCCCATGTGAAAAACAATGATTTTCTACATTTATCCCGCAAACACTAAGCGATTGGCCTTGCGACTTGTTAATTGTCATTGCGAGCGCAAGGCGAACTGGAAATTGCAATCTTTTGAAGTCAAACGGAAGATCAGTCGGAATCATTGGTATTCGAGGAATACATACATTTTCACCTGCGTACTTTCCGTTAATAATGGTTGCCTCAATCAAATTCGGCATAAGTCTTTTTACCGAAAGTCGAGTACCGTTGCAAAGTCGCGGTGGATTCAAATTACGCAATATTATAATAACTGTACCAACTTTGAGTTGCAAGTTATGTGGTGGAAATCCTGGTAACTCCAGAGAGTTCATAAACTCCGTTGGATAATTTACTACATCATCGGGATTTGTTATGGAATCAACGGATTTGTATGTCACTAAATCGCCAGCAATTTTTGATTGAATGGTGAAATTCAGTGCGTGTACATCATTATTATTTGCGGCAAGAATTGCTCGTTCACTTAACCAAGCATAATTCTGATAATTCTCACTAATGTTTGGGAAAACATTTTCATTAAGAGCTAATTGAGAGTCTACAAATCGGCAAAAGTCGTTGGTAAGAGTAATTAATCCAGATGTCGCATCAACTGGGACTTTTCCATTTCCAACAGCTAACAATTGTTTAGAAAATTGTGCAGCACTTTGATCATTTTGAAGTTGAACTCTCATATTAGTGGTTACAACTGTGGGATATCTTTCATGAATTTGAAATGACAATAATCGCCACAGTGCTTCATTAGTACTGACGTATCTGCCCATTTGGAAGTTGCTGATTTCGTTATTCGCATTTTCCGACGCAATACCAAACACAGCCATGTCGCTGCCTTTTGTGACGTACTTGCACAAATATTTGATTGATTTGTCCGAATGACAACTCTCAACGTTTGCATGTGTTTCGAAAATTCGTGATAGCAGCGGGCAATATGGTACAATTAATTCATTTCCGATCTCAATCTCTTGATTTTGAACTTTAACTTTGATAGATCGACCATTATCTTCTTTTGAACGCCGACGATAAACTGGATATCCATCGTTCCCTGTGACTGTTTCAGCAACTAACGGTCGCGGATATCGTTTTGTGCACTTTCCATCAGCCATGCAAGGCGATAATGGATTTAATGCACCGCACGGTCCATGCACCATCTGTGTCGTCACAATGTCGTGTAGATGGGGATCAGTGACTGGATCAGGAATTTCAGCTGATATGATGTCATCCACTTCATTTGAATGTAATTTGTTCAGCAACCAAATTAGGATATGAGCATGCGGTAGTCCACGCTTCTGCCATTCCACCGAGTACATATAACAACGTGTGTCACCAAAAACTCGATACTTAGTAAGCACATCCATCATAACCTTGAGTTTTTGCTGAAATACTCTGGCGATTATGTCTAACTCACGTTCAATTTCTGTCCACTTCGGATTGCATGTGAACGTAATAAATAAATCCGGAGTTCCATAATTTCGCACGTACGTCATAGCGTCTTGAGCGTATTCGTGCATGTGGCGTGGTCTTCCGATCTAAGATGATGGAAGAATCGTCAGACGTCCAATATTCTGAACATCACCATCTGAATGAATAGCATCACGCAAGTGTATATAGTCCTCAGATCGTAGCTTTGCCTGATTGAATCGGATGAACGCTAAACGTTCGGTCTCGACTTTGACATACATGTCGACAGCGAATTGCTGGAATAGCCGACGGCACTTCAGAATGACATTCTCCTCATGTGTACGAATCATCATACGATACGCATAGTAATTCATTGCGCTTAGATTTTTGTTCGTTGATACGCCTGAAAATGCAAAATTAAATGAATTGTTAATGGAAACCAATAATAGCAATAATAGCAATAATTAGTGTGTGAATATTGTACCTGTAATTGGATCGACCATCTTCAACGTGATGTCGTATCCGTCCCTTGCCAATAAATAATTGGATATTGTAACGCATCGTACAAACGATGTGTCTCGTTTACACGATGCATGATATTGCTTCTTCGCTGAACGACAATGTCTCGCGATTTAGTTGTATCGCCAACAATAATTGCAGCAACATCAAATCGGTGGTTAACGGTGGGTGCATTGAATCTTCGCATATGTTCACCTGTTGGGGTACAATCCGCTCTTATGACAAATTTGTGCGTATCCGATGGCATTCGTTCCAATGCTGTTTTGAACATATTAACCACAGCATTATTAGCGGGAATCGGGATCACTTCCATCGAACAATGGTTTCAGTGGCTGTGTGGTGTAAGTAATGGATCCAGTTTGACTTTTCCACATGCGCAGCACAATCCAGCCGTTTCTCTTTTGAACTTAAACGCATTGCAATATCTGCATATAGTCGTCATTGGTCCAATATCTAAATTTTCATCATCACTGTAGTTCGCAGTGGGATCATATTGGAATGCCAAGCGATTGTATGATGCCAATGATCTTCGTGTGCTCCCGCGTTGTCTCAATCGGGCATTTTCTCTTATATTTTGTCTTTCTTCGCTTATGTTCTGTGAATACACTTGTTGCTGGCTTGCACGTCTTGTGCGGCGGCCGATGTTCGCACGTCGTCCTCTAGGCATTTTGAACTATGGACAGAGTGGTGAATTTAACCACAAATGCACGATCCACATAATTTACACAGTTCAACTTACCACCTTAAAGACAAATGCCTGCTGTTGAAATTGAATAAAAATTTGCACAATACACGTGATTGATTTGATGGTTTCCTATTGAAATGTTAGGAAACGAATAACTTATTTTTTTTTTACTTTTTTTTTCACAATTTCACAGTTACACAATACCGGTTTGTCACATGAAATTAACTGAGCAGAGAACAATGAGTAGCTGTCAAACAATGTATCACGCACCGGCGCTATCTACTTAAAATATTGGGTTGTAGTACATGCTATGTATAAGAGATGGCGCTGTATGTGAAAAAAGATTTTCAAATTTGCACAATACACGTGATTGATTTGATGGTTTCCAATTGAAATGTTAGGAAACGAATAACTTATTTTTTTTTACTTTTTTTTCACAATTTCACAGTGAACACAATACCGGTTTGTCACGTGAAATTAACTGAGCAGAGAACAATGAGTAGCTGTCAAACAATGTATCACGCACCGGCGCCATCTACTTAAAATATTGGTTTGTAGCGCTGTATGTGAAAAAAGATTTTCTCGCTTTTCTGTTGATATTTTTCCTAAATTTTCTTTGCTATAAACCACACGGAGCCCGAGACCTTTCCAACGAATGCAAAACCGTGGAAATCGGTTCGTGCGTTCTGGAGTTATAGCGTCAGGAAGGAAAACCCGACTTATTTTTATATAGTAGATATACAGGTAACGTATCGCTTATATTACTTATGCAGGTAAATAAGCGGAAATGTAATCTTTTCCTAATTCTTATAACACAAAGCTAAAAATTTGTTAGCACAGTAATGTGTTTTCATTCAATAGATCAATTTTTATTGAATATTATACCTAGGCTAGTAAGTGGGTCACAGTGTGGTTGCATTGACAAAGGAATGAGGAAGAAACTTGACGCAAAAAATAGATATAAGCAATCTTTGAAGCGGGTATAGAATATATATGTATCTTTGAAGGATATACACCTATCAAAATTTGGGCTCAATCGGTAATGAAGTGAAGTGAATTTTACACAAACCAACTTATATATATAAATATATGAATATATGAACATATATATATATATATTCTCGTGTCGTGGTGTTTGTTACCAAACTCCTCCGAAACGGCTGGACCGATTTTTATGTTTTTTTTTATCGGTATGTTTGAGAATCGGCCACAATTTTTCATACCACTAAATGATAAGGGTGGGTTACCTAGTCGGCTAATCATTTAGTGGTATGAAAAATATTTTATTTATTTAGCAACCCTTATTTTTTTTTTATTTATTTAAATTTTTAATTATTTTTATTATTATTAAGCATTCTAAATATACATACCACTTTAAATTTTCACACTACGTTTGTGTAGCCATCAAAAACTAAAAAAGATCTTCGCCGATTGAGTTAAAATTTTAACACGATAGAAAAGCATCTTGATATTAGGTCTTTACCTATGAAATTGCCGTTTTGTATGCTGGTGAACCGGTGAAATGAAAGTACTTATTTTTTCAAACTTTTTTATTTCTGTTATTCGAAGTAATCACCCATGCAATCGACGCATCTTTGCCAACGCATTGGCAGTTTATTGATGCCCTTCTTGTAAAAATCAGCTGGACGGGAGGCAACAAACTCTTCAAAGGCATTTTGTGCTGCCTCTCGGGAATTGAATTTTTTACCCACTAAAAAGTTGTCTAAATTTTGGAAACAGTAATAGTCGGTGCAAGGTCTGGTGGTCACATCTGCAACCAGGTTTGGTCAATCGGTCGTCCCCACTGCTCCTTCACGACACGACCCTATACTGCGCAACAGACAGTCTCCAAGCTGCAAGAGCTGGGGTTGGAAGCTCTCCCTCATCCGCCATACTCACCAGACCTTGCATACAAAATTGCATACAAAACGGCAATTTCATAGGTAAAGCCTATTAGATTGTTTTGCAGATATTATTAGCGCCAGTTTTGTTCATTCATGATGAATGAACAATCACTTCTCTGCAATCACAATGTGCCACAGCGAGAGTGCACACTGTGGCAGGCAGGGTGTGTGACGGGGTACAGTTGGTTATCTACTATATAAAAATAAGTCGGGTTTTCCTTCCTGACGCTATAACTCCAGAACGCACGAACCGATTTCCACGGTTTTGCATTCGTTGGAAAGGTCTCGGGCTCCGTGTGGTTTATAGCAAAGAAAATTTAGGAAAAATATCAACAGAAAAGCGAGAAAATCTTTTTTCACATACAGCGCTACAAACCAATATTTTAAGTAGATGGCGCCGGTGCGTGATACATTGTTTGACAGCTACTCATTGTTCTCTGCTCAGTTAATTTCACGTGACAAACCGGTATTGTGTTCACTGTGAAATTGTGAAAAAAAAGTAAAAAAAAATAAGTTATTCGTTTCCTAACATTTCAATTGGAAACCATCAAATCAATCACGTGTATTGTGCAAATTTGAAAATCTTTTTTCACATACAGCGCCATCTCTTATACATAGCATGTACTACAACCCAATATTTTAAGTAGATAGCGCCGGTGCGTGATACATTGTTTGACAGCTACTCATTGTTCTCTGCTCAGTTAATTTCATGTGACAAACCGGTATTGTGTAACTGTGAAATTGTGAAAAAAAAAGTAAAAAAAAATAAGTTATTCGTTTCCTAACATTTCAATAGGAAACCATCAAATCAATCACGTGTATTGTGCAAATTTTTATTCAATTTCAACAGCAGGCATTTGTCTTTAAGGTGGTAAGTTGAACTGTGTAAATTATGTGGATCGTGCATTTGTGGTTAAATTCACCACTCTGTCCATAGTTCAAAATGCCTAGAGGACGACGTGCGAACATCGGCCGCCGCACAAGACGTGCAAGCCAGCAACAAGTGTATTCACAGAACATAAGCGAAGAAAGACAAAATATAAGAGAAAATGCCCGATTGAGACAACGCGGGAGCACACGAAGATCATTGGCATCATACAATCGCTTGGCATTCCAATATGATCCCACTGCGAACTACAGTGATGATGAAAATTTAGATATTGGACCAATGACGACTATATGCAGATATTGCAATGCGTTTAAGTTCAAAAGAGAAACGGCTGGATTGTGCTGCGCATGTGGAAAAGTCAAACTGGATCCATTACTTACACCACACAGCCACTGAAACCATTGTTCGATGGAAGTGATCCCGATTCCCGCTAATAATGCTGTGGTTAATATGTTCAAAACAGCATTGGAACGAATGCCATCGGATACGCACAAATTTGTCATAAGAGCGGATTGTACCCCAACAGGTGAACATATGCGAAGATTCAATGCACCCACCGTTAACCACCGATTTGATGTTGCTGCAATTATTGTTGGCGATACAACTAAATCGCGAGACATTGTCGTTCAGCGAAGAAGCAATATCATGCATCGTGTAAACGAGACACATCGTTTGTACGATGCGTTACAATATCCAATTATTTATTGGCAAGGGACGGATACGACATCACGTTGAAGATGGTCGATCCAATTACAGGTACAATATTCACACACTAATTATTGCTATTATTGCTATTATTGGTTTCCATTAACAATTCATTTAATTTTGCATTTTCAGGCGTATCAACGAACAAAAATCTAAGCGCAATGAATTACTATGCGTATCGTATGATGATTCGTACACATGAGGAGAATGTCATTCTGAAGTGCCGTCGGCTATTCCAGCAATTCGCTGTCGACATGTATGTCAAAGTCGAGACCGAACGTTTAGCGTTCATCCGATTCAATCAGGCAAAGCTACGATCTGAGGACTATATACACTTGCGTGATGCTATTCATTCAGATGGTGATGTTCAGAATATTGGACGTCTGACGATTCTTCCATCATCTTAGATCGGAAGACCACGCCACATGCACGAATACGCTCAAGACGCTATGACGTACGTGCGAAATTATGGAACTCCGGATTTATTTATTACGTTCACATGCAATCCGAAGTGGACAGAAATTGAACGTGAGTTAGACATAATCGCCAGAGTATTTCAGCAAAAACTCAAGGTTATGATGGATGTGCTTACTAAGTATCGAGTTTTTGGTGACACACGTTGTTATATGTACTCGGTGGAATGGCAGAAGCGTGGACTACCGCATGCTCATATCCTAATTTGGTTGCTGAACAAATTACATTCAAATGAAGTGGATGACATCATATCAGCTGAAATTCCTGATCCAGTCACTGATCCCCATCTACACGACATTGTGACGACACAGATGGTGCATGGACCGTGCGGTGCATTAAATCCATTATCGCCTTGCATGGCTGATGGAAAGTGCACAAAACGATATCCGCGACCGTTAGTTGCTGAAACAGTCACAGGGAACGATGGATATCCAGTTTATCGTCGGCGTTCAAAAGAAGATAATGGTCGATCTATCAAAGTTAAAGTTCAAAATCAAGAGATTGAGATCGGAAATGAATTAATTGTACCATATTGCCCGCTGCTATCACGAATTTTCGAAACACATGCAAACGTTGAGAGTTGTCATTCGGACAAATCAATCAAATATTTGTGCAAGTACGTCACAAAAGGCAGCGACATGGCTGTGTTTGGTATTGCGTCGGAAAATGCGAATAACGAACCAGCAACTTCCAAATGGGCAGATACGTCAGTACTAATGAAGCACTGTGGCGATTATTGTCATTTCAAATTCATGAAAGATATCCCACAGTTGTAACCACTAATATGAGAGTTCAACTTCAAAATGATCAAAGTGCTGCACAATTTTCTAAACAATTGTTAGCTGTTGGAAATGGAAAAGTCCCAGTTGATGCGACATCTGGATTAATTACTCTTACCAACGACTTTTGCCGATTTGTAGACTCTCAATTAGCTCTTAATGAAAATGTTTTCCCAAACATTAGTGAGAATTATCAGAATTATGCTTGGTTAAGTGAACGAGCAATTCTTGCCGCAAATAATAATGATGTACACGCACTGAATTTCACCATTCAATCAAAAATTGCTGGCGATTTAGTGACATACAAATCCGTTGATTCCATAACAAATCCCGATGATGTAGTAAATTATCCAACGGAGTTTATGAACTCTCTGGAGTTACCAGGATTTCCACCACATAACTTGCAACTCAAAGTTGGTACAGTTATTATAATATTGCGTAATTTGAATCCACCGCGACTTTGCAACGGTACTCGACTTTCGGTAAAAAGACTTATGCCGAATTTGATTGAGGCAACCATTATTAACGGAAAGTACGCAGGTGAAAATGTATGTATTCCTCGAATACCAATGATTCCGACTGATCTTCCGTTTGACTTCAAAAGATTGCAATTTCCAGTTCGCCTTGCGCTCGCAATGACAATTAACAAGTCGCAAGGCCAATCGCTTAGTGTTTGCGGGATAAATGTAGAAAATCATTGTTTTTCACATGGGCAGTTATACGTTGCGTGTTCACGAGTTGGGAAACCATGCGCTTGGTTTGTGTTAACGTCAGACCAAAAAATAAAAAATGTGGTTTACCAAAGAGCACTTCAATGAAACGGATAATTTGCGGACACGTATAACGCTTCGATTCAGTATTTACTTTGGATTCACTTTCATTTACTTAGAGAAGTTCAACTAAATAACACTTCATTTTTGTAATCGAAATGAATTCATTACTGTTGTGAAATGAAATAATTTTTTTCCTTTTTAAATATAAAACAAAAAAAATATTTTTCTTCTTCTTTTAATCACCAAACGAAATGTTACATAAAACGAAGCCATCTGGTGGCGAAACGGAGTTCGCCGGGTTTGCTAGTATACATATATATTATTATATAAGCTTGCAGGTTTCCAAATTTTCCCAATCTCGATTATCAAAGTGCCGAAGGGCCCCATTTTAATTACACACAAATTACAGTCGGAACAACTTATAATTGAACCAATGTTTTGTTTTGTTTGTCCGACAACTGTCTTTGTTTTGGAGATCTGATGGCAGTCGCTCCGGGAAAAAAATCGAAGTTCAACCGTATCGTAATAGACTTAAAGCCGACCCGAACCTAGTTTGAAAAAAAGGCGCTTAAGGGCAATGTTTGTGTTTAATACGTACCTGCTTACCCCTAAAATATCGTGTCGTGGGTATATCTATATGTAAGCAAGGGCGGGTTCCGAACTGAACTTTTAATATCTAACAAAGTTTGTTTACATTTCGTCTCCCGTAATTTGTAAGTTTAATGCAGATATTTTAATTTTGTATTTGTTTTTAAAGTAATACCTACTTAATTTGTGACGCAATAAAGTTGAAAGTAAACGTTACAGGTTTACTTATTTTTACACTAATGAACGAAATTAACATTTAGATAGGCAAAGAACCTCACCTCACACCTGATCCCAAACTAGGCAGAGCTTGTGCTGGTGATTGAGTAAAAAACATACTTAGGTTTGTCACTGGTTTGTTTGCCACCATAGTGGTATAAAATTTATTATTCTTTATGTTTTTACCGATGATACTGGAAATAATAAACTGATGATTTAGGCATAACAAGGTCCTTTCATATCATTATTGGCACCAGTTTCCGTAGTGTACTGGTGAATTATAACAAATCTGCTATAAATTAATTTCATTTACGGTAATTTTAGCCAAAAAAACAAAACTTTGCTTTTGGAGATGCTGGGATTTGAACCCAGGACTTTCAGCATGCGAAGCAGACACTCTACCACTGAGTTACATCCCCGGATACTTGCTATGATAAAAATAGCATTTAGTATGTTTCTTAACTTGCAAAATTACCTAGTGGATAAAACAGTAACTTTATATAATAGACCGGGCGTCAGAGTTAAGTGAGGTTTAGGTTTTATGTGTTTGGAATTTGTAAATTTTATTCTCTCTTATACTTTATGAGCATAAAATATGATTTGAAATTTTTTTTAAAACTAAGAAATTTTTAAAATGTGATATCTCTGCGAAAAAAATATATCCCAGCAAACTCAACGCGATTTTAAAGGTTCCTATACTTTAAGATGCTTTTAAAAGTTTTTGTGAGAAAAATTATGTTACGATGCTACATTAATGCAAAAATGGACAGCTATTTTTGCACTTTTAAGTTTGGATATTTTAGAAACTAGAGCCGATTCTGTAATTTGGACGTTAGATTCAAAAACCTTCAGAGAAGTATACTTTGGTTTCTGGGTTTCAGTTTGTCTGCCTGTGTAAGAGTAGAAGGGAGAAAAATGGACTAAAAAAATTTCCGGCAAGATCCATCTTTAACCTTTTATTAACTCAAATACATTGGTGCGCCTGCACTATAAATACATGTGGCAAATACCATTTAGACATAGGGCTAGTTGGCAAAGATTTTGCTTAACTTACGAAGGAGTATATTTTACTTATCTGGTTCGTAACATACCCACATAAAATGACATCTGAATTAAAAACCTCTCTCTCAACAGTCAAACATACGTTTTTGTGGAGTAATTTTCTTTTCCATCAGGTCTGGTAACATGGCTGCAATCAACCTTCGGCTGTCGATTACCCATAGTACAGGGCGGCACTATATCCTTCCTGGTACCAACACTGGCGATCCTCAACCTACCTGTGTGGCAGTGCCCTAAGCCGGAAATTCTAGCAGCTATGACAGAGGAACAACAAAGAAGTGTATGGACGACGAGGATGTGTGAACTGTCGGGAGCGATAGCCGTATCAGCTCTTTTCCAGGTGGTTTTCGGTGAGTTTAATTAACACCTTCTTAGTGGTTTCATAGTAATTAGACGAGGTACTTATTAAAATGAATTACTAAAAAAACCCACTGCGTGACTATTTATAATTAAAATTTACTAACTGGCGATTTTTATAATCATCATCATCAACAGCCTTTACTAGTCCACTGCTGGACACAAGCCTCTCCTTAGAAAGGAAGTTTTGGCCTACTATACCACGCTGGCCAGACGGGTCGGTATAGGGTTTGTGTCAAGTTTTCCTTCTCTGTGCAGTGTTGTAGTTCTGCGTAGTTTTCTCCCTTAGTCGGCTCTTACGACACCCACGAGATGAATTGGGTGGTGACACTCTGTATTCCTAATCCGTCACCACACGGACAATTTTTATAAAATTGATTTATAATTATTTCATAACTTTCAACTTGTTGAAAGCAATGTAACTAGTGGTATGCATTTATTTTTAGGTTACTTCGGAATAATCGGTTCCTTGCTTCGATTCGTAACACCGCTAACGATAGCCCCGACAGTTGCTCTGGTGGGGCTCACGCTGTTCGATCATGCGGCTGCAGCGGCCTCTCAACAATGGGGAATAGCTGCTGGGTGAGTACCTACTCCTTTATTTACTATAACTTTAATATGTGGGGTTGGAATTAGAATAAACTCGTAGCGAGATTATGTCGTCATTCAAGATTTAAAAGAAAATAAATAGCTACTCAATAAAACAGTGAAGAAGTAAATGAAAATGAAAAATAAAGAAAAAGAAAGAAGCTAAAAGATTTTTTATTTTTTAAATTAAAAAAGGATATATTCATCTTAATTTAATAAAAATATTTAATTAATTGAATAAAAGAGAAAGTAGAAGATAAAATATATTTTTTATCTTTTAAATTAGGAAAACTATAACCCCGACATTGGCCATATATAGGTATATACATAGAACTTTACAATTAAATTACCTGTATAAGGTTTGTTTAGATATCTTATAAGCACTTCGTTGTACAATAAATCACAACTTGTAAAAAAGTACTCTCCCCGAGTAATACTTGCATTTATTGAAAAAAAAATAACGGGGTTGAAGCCACAGGCGAAAATTAATCGCCTATAAATAGTTGAATCTTTCGCCCCATTTCGCTCTGGTGCTTTTATTTATTACAGTCTTTTTAATATACTATGAAAATAAAATGTAAATCTATAGCGAGTGGATTCAGTGAAGGCTATGAAGATCGGCTAATAGATTGCTCGGAAAATAGGTCGGCAAAGTGATTTACCCTGTTTACGATACGTTCATAGAAAAAAAAAACAATACATTATAATTATAATATGTCCATGTGGATTAAGAATACAGAGTGTCACCACCCCTATTCGTTCCGTGGGTGTCGTAAGAGCCGACTAAGGGAGTAAACTACGCAGGACAACAACACTACCTTGACACAAACCCTATACCAAACCGTCTGCCCAGCGTGATATAGTAGGCCAAAACCTGCTTTCTAAGGAGAGGCCTATGTCCAGCAGTGGACTATTAAATACTGTTGATGAACCGAAACGTTGTATAAACTTACAATAATCTTGTCTTAAGGGCTTATATTATACTAGCTTTTGCTTGCGGCTCCGCCCGCGTGTTTGTCGGTTTTCGTGGTAAAAAGTAGACTGCTACTCGCTGATAATGTAGCTTTCCGTGGTCAAACGAATTTTCAAAATCGGTTTAGTGGTTTAGGCGTTAAAGCTTAACAAACAAACCCACTATGGATATCCTGAAGAGAAGACCCGAGTTATTATAAGATACACGAAGAAACGTTTGAACTGTATGAAGTCAACCCTTCAAAGTAAATAATACACTAACGAATAGTTATCGTGTTAAGGGCCCAATTACGGTCCTTAATGATTAATCGTGGGTATAAGTTTACTTGTTGCTATCACGAACTAAGTTTTCGCAGTTTGAAGACATGAATATAGTATTGTAGTAATATTACTGCCTTGCAAAGTAGTAAACTGTACTACGAAATATTTTGAAAAGACTTTTGACAGTAAATAACAATTACAAAATGTTTTTGTGTGAAAGAATTTTGTTTTTCATTTAGGTTCACCATTGTGTGTTGACTAATAAAATTCATAATCTCATTTTTCTTTCTTTATCTGTTAGTTGACAACGTAAAGATTAATATATTTCATTTTTAAGAGGATCCGTTCGGGAAAAAAAATGTCGAAAACTGTCAAAAACGGCTTATCGCGTTTTACAAGAAAACTGCAAATCGTGCAAAGAAAATGCAAATGTACGAAAAATGCGCAATAAACCTTTCATAAACTATTGAGACAGAACGGGCGGGGTTGGGTATGCTCCAATAGTTTTTTTTCAGTTTCGCAAAATTTTTAAAGCCTAATTATAAATTTTTAAGCTTTAATGTGGGCTAACTGGAGGCTACAAAACCCACAACCTCAAGAAATTTGGGGTTTTAATATTGATCAGAACTCGAGTTATAATGTTGTTTAATAATTAGACTTGCAACGAATAGTATATTCGGCAGTATACCGAATACCGAATATTCGGCGAGGCCCCTGACCGAATAGCCGAATATTAGGCAAAAGTATTCGGCTGGATTTTAGCGCCAAAAACTTGTACAGACGTGAATTAAATTATGTACCTGTTTTATGTACCAATGACTACTTAATAAATGATTATAAAAGAAATGAGAACCATACCCTTCTAAATTTTTATTACCACAATAATTCAAATACATAGAATCCTCAATTTTTCCAATTCAGAAGATGATTATGTACCTGTGTTATGCACCAATGACTACTTAAATGATTATAACAGAAATGAAAATATTAATATATACGTAATCAATCGATTTTAATTTTTCATTTTACCAATCATTTCTCAATGACAAAATATATTATTTAAGTATTCGGTATTCGGCCGAATAATATGTAGATATTCGGTATTCGGCCGAATATAATAAAAGCAGCCGAATAGGCCGAATACCGAATAGTAACCGAATATTCGTTGCAAGTCTATTAATAATGGTATAAAAACGCGGTATATTGCAATTTGCAAAGAACCTATTCAACCAATTGGGACCGAACAAGTCTCATTTGGTTTGTCTTTTTATTGGGCATTTTTCATACATGTTCACTTTCTTTGTACGATTTTAAGTTTTCTTGTAAAACGCGATAAACCGTTTTTGACAGTTTTTGTCATTTTTTTAACAATGTTCCCATAAACGGAGCCGCGTTGAAATGAAATATGTTAATCGTAACGTTGTCAGTAACGGATAAAAAAGAAAATAGAGGTTATCAATTTCACGATTTTTAGACCAATTTTCTGGTAATTCTATCCGACTATAGTTTTTTTATTTTGTTCTTTTGTGAGATTTATTCGTTTCAAACAGTTTAAATTTGAACCCTGGCATTTATACACACTTTGTTGCAGCACATTGTGGTTGTACTGATGAGAAATAAGAACAAAACTAAAACTAAAACAATGTTCAAAGTAGTTTGTGTATAGTGTCAAAAATAGAGCGTACACAAACCAACTAAACCATTTTATATTATAGATACATATAAATAATAAAATATAAAGTTATAGCCACTTTTTGCCATACTGCGACAGAAGGAGGCTTATGTTTTTCGAGTGTATGTATGTGTTTCTTTGGCACGTAGTCTAAACGTTTTAGTCGATATTGGTTTGGGAGGTGTCGTTAGATTTGTTTTAATTCTGAGAGTAACAGTGGCTATATGAAAATTATAAACATTAAATTCACCGGTTTGTAAATTTCAAGTGAATACTGAAATTTACGATCCTTTCACTTGAAATTTACCGACGTGATACTTGAAATTTACGCAGTTTGGTTATTTGTTTTTTTTTTTCATTAATTATAAATTGTTAATAGTATATGTATGATAATTGTTACTTTATTTAGTTTAAAGTTTATGCCATTACTAGTCTCACGTTTTCTCTCACACGCTAGGTACCAGGATAGCATATCTATTAGTAAGTTTTCGCATTTCACAGCGAGGTGAGCAGTTGCCATAGTTACCGGGTCGCTGGCCCCGCAACAAGTGTGCTCTATTGATTTCATCTGCACCGGACGCGCGATATAATAAAATACTAGACACGAAATTGTTGTTGTTTTTATTACCATTTGTAGCTATGTATTTCTAGGTCAAAATATAGGTATTCTGTTCACATGAATTCACAGTGTCAAGAGACTGTCTATGTAGTGGAAATGGCTCATCAATGGTGATTTTTACAACATTACCACATCTAGGTAATCTATCATTTCGTTACAAATTTAGCGGTTCAATGACAAGTCATCAGTTGAGGAGTAGGAGGCCATTGGTCTTACATAGTTAGTAGAATACGAAAAGTGCAAAACTATTCCGACGATAGTACATCGGCAGTCTATTGGTAGAATATTTAAATAGGAGAATCGAGGCGAGTAGAAACAAAATCAGGAGCCACAAGTGCGGAGCTGGGCTTTGAGGGTATTGGGTCTCCGATGGATCTCACTCATTCGGTGAAATGCTACGTAGTAATTTTTACACCGATTGTCGGTAATCAGTAATCACTTACTTGCCGGCGAAATAAATCTTTATAAATCTTCGACGAAAAAAAGAGATAACACTGTAAGAAAGAAAGAAAGAAAACATACTTTATTTCTAAACACACGACAGCTTTAACATAAAAAAAAACACACACCGGATTAAGTATACGGAGTGTCACTGTTACGAGTACCACCCGTATTCAGTGTATTCAGCCCGTGGCTATCATAAGAGCCGGCTAAGGGAGCAAACTACGCAGGACAGCAACACACACACCAACACGTCTGGCTAGCGATAGTATATGTATATATTAGGTACAAATAATATTTCTCGTATACAGTAATATAAAATCATTATATTGTTACATAAAATATTCTCAAAGGGGTAATGAGCAACAAAAAGCTTGGAAAGCAGATTTCAAAGATGTCTCGAAGTTAACATAGAAAAGGGAATGTCGCATTAAAATGGATAAGGTGAGGGGAAACATTTCCTCTCTCCGTGAGTTTATTCAGAGCAGGTGAGGAGAATTTGCAATTTCACTAGATAACTTTGTATCTTTCTATTTAACTAATTTGTAAAGAACATAAATTTAATAGTAATATATTTGAAATTGTTTTATTTTTCTGTTCTGCATATCCGGCGACTAAGCGATTGTCAAAATCCTTTTAAATGCACACTCACACAAACACACACACACACACACACACACATACACGCCGACACTCCTCACACACACTCACACACGAACATACCCACACTTACGCGTATGCGCACGTACATAAAATGCACACTCACATTTTACTAGTACTTAATCGGATTAGTATCTTAATCGTCACATAATACAAAACTTTTTAAAATAATTTATCCCTCAACTAGCATTAGAATTCTCTATTAAACTCGAGCAGCAAAGAGAAATCTCTCTGTCAAGGGAATTACTTGCAATCAATTTCTTAAGTCGTACACCCGAGGGCTTAAAATCTTTTGCAGACTAGAAATAGGTAAGCGCCTTACCACCGAGCCTGAAACGCACCTGCGTTTAATTATAAAATTACGCGGCA